TTACATCCACCTTCTATTTTCTAGTAAGGAAGTATTACAAATAAAATCTTCTGCCTCAAGGGTAAAGAAGGGGACATATAGTAACCACAGAAAAGGAAAATTCATTCCTTTCACCCAACAACTATTCATTTGAATATTTCCTCTGTGCCAAATACTGCTCTAGGAATTAAGGATCATAGCAGTAACAAAGTTCCTCTCCTCAGGGAGCATGAGTTAGTTGGGTCATATGGACAATTAAAAAAAGGAACAAATACTATAAAGTATGCCACAGAGAATTATAAAAGATGAAAGGTAGGGCTGGGCATGGTGGCTCACGCCTGAAGTCTCAGTAGTCTGGGAGGCCGAGGCGGGTGGATTGCCTGAGCTCACAGGTTTGAAACCATCCTGAACCAAAGCGAGACCCCGTCTCTAAAACGTGCTGAGTGTTGTGGCAGACGCCTGTACTCCCGGCTACTCAGAAGACTGAGGTAAGAGTATCACTTGAGCCAAGAGTTTGAGGTTGCTGTGAGCTATGACACCACGGCATTCTACCAAGGGCAATGAAGTGAAATTCTGTCTCAAAAAAAAAGATGAAAGGTAGAAAAACCATGAATGTGGCTGATATTTTATTACAGGGAAATCAAAGAGGCCTCTCTGCTAAGATGACATTAGAGAAGAGACACAAAGGAAGTGAACCATGCAGGTATCTGGGAATACAGTGTTTCAGGGAGAGAGAAAATCAAGAAACAAATATCCCTTGGTAGAATGCCGTGGCATCACAAATCACTGCAACCTCAAAGTCTTGGGCAATTCTATTATCTCAGCCTCCCAAGTAGCTGGGACTATAGGCACCCGCCACAATGCCTAGCTATTTTTTTGTTGCAGTTGTCATTGTTGTTTAGCAGCCCTGGGCCGGGTTCAAACTCTATAGTGTAATAGAGTTAGTTATAGTTATAGAGTAACAATAAATAAATAAATAAAATAAAATAAAAACTAGCCTGGTGTTGAGAGGGGTACCTGTAATCCCAGCTACTTGGGAGACTGAGGCAAGAGGACCGCTTGAGCCCAAGAGTTTGAGGTTGCTGTAGCCATGAAGCCACGGCACTTTACCCAGGGTGACAATGTAAAACTCTGTCTCAAAAAATAAAATTATACACGAAGTAGTTTTTGTTTTTGTTTTTTGAAAGCGTCTCACTATGTTGCCCTTGAAGGGAGTGGGGAAATGTTCAACTAACTATGGAAATGAGATCACCAAAATCAAAAATCAAAGAACCTGTACAGGACAAAAGATACAGTTTCTTCAACAAATAAATGTCAGTATAGTGATTCCTCTTTTAGTGGTGAAGAAAGAAGGCACAATTAAAAGGCAGGATGCAATGGGCTTCTGAAATGCATAGTAAGGCTCTTTCTCGTTCATGCATGATGGTTATGATGACACTTGTCATCATAATGTAATTCAAAAAACTGTTTTGTTTTGCTGTTTTCTGTATTTGCTTCTATAACATTTAAATAGTTTTAAATTTCTTTCAAAGGTGGTTAAATGTAAAGAGAATATAACAATGTCAGAACACTAATTCCAGTGTCTGTTCTAACACTATCTAGCTCCTGTATCAATCTTTACGGGCCAGTCAGCTCCACTCTAAAATCTGGTTGTTTCATTTAAGTAGCTTTATAGGGTTTTTTCCTTCTAAGGCCCAAAACACATGTAATGAAAATCAACCTACATGATAATACTAGGGGGAAGACCTTATATACCTTTATATATTTTCTTTTTTTGAAACAGAATCTCACTTTGTCACACTCAGTGGAGTGCCATGGCATCACAGTTCACAGCAACCTTACACTTGAGCTTACGTGATTCTCTTGCCTCAGCCTCCCAAGTAGCTGAGACCACAGGCTCCCGCCACAACATCTGGCTATTTTTAGAGATGAGGTCTAGCTAAGACTCAGGCTGGCCTCCAACCTGTAAGCTTAGGCTATCTATCCACCTCAGCCTCCCAGAGTGCTAGGATTACAGGCATGAGCCACAGTGCCTGGCTATAAACCTTTATCTGACTTAGAAATAATGATCTGAAAATACAACACAAATTACTTATATACAAACTTTTTATACACACATAGAGGACAAGGAACCTTGAAAATCATTGTCAAAAACATTTTTGTCAGTTTAATGAACGTCTGTGCCATTGTTAGCGCTGATTTATTACACTGTTTCTTTACCATAAAGGTAAATTTCAGCCTAGTCTGATTTGTTCTGAATTAGCACAATGAATTATGCTATACCATTCCCACCAGAAAAATGGCACATCTTACTGTTTCACACTTAAGAATGCCTATTGTATTGGTTCTTGTTCTAAAGTAAAATGGACTTACTTTTCATTTTGCAGTTCCTGTATTTTCTTTAAATTTTCTCTGTTTTTTTCTTCAATTTCTTCTTTAAGTTCTTTTACCTGGGTTTTATAAAGTGTCTGTAAAAGAAATGATAATTAACTGCTTATGGTGGGTTAAAACATGGCACGGCAGTTTATTAGAAATCAACTTTAGACCCAACACTTCTATTCCCAAGTATTTATTCGTGACAAATGCAAATAAATTTCTATACATAGTCTCATGCATTTTCTTTTCTTCTCTCTTTTTTCCTCTTCTTTTTTTGAAGACAGAGTCTTACTTTGTCACCCTTGGAACAGTGCCGTGGCATCAGAGCTCACAGCAACCTCATACTCTTGGGCTTAAGTGATTTTCTTGCCTTAGCCTCCACAATAGCTGGGACTACAGGTGCCCGCCACAATGCCCGGCTATTTTTTTGTTGCAGTTGTCACTGTTGTTTAGCTGGCCTGGACCTGCCAGCTTTGGTGTATGTGGCTGGCACCATAACTACTGTGCTACCGGCACTGAGCCTCAAGCAATTTTCTTGCCTCAGCCTCTCAAGTAGCTGGGGCTATAGGCACCCGCTACAACGCCCGGGTATTTTTTGAGATGGGGGACTCCACTTGGCTCAGGCTGGTCTTTAACCTGTGAGCTCAGGGAATCTACCTGCCTTGGTCTCCCAGAGTGCTAAGATTATAGGTGTGAGCCACTGCACCTGGCCCTGTGCATTAATCTTCATTGTGGCATTGTTCACAGCAGCTCCAAATTATAAGCAACCCAGATATCCACCAACTCCTAGGTTAAAAAAATTATGACATAGCTATGCTACTTAGCAATAAAAAGGAACAAACTACAGATAAATACAACATGATAAATTTAAAAAAATATGCCAACTCAAACAAACCAGTTACTAAAGAAGGAGTACATGCTGTGATTCCAAGCACATGAAATTCTAGAACAGGTGAAAATAATCAATAGTGACAGCCAAATAGTCATTGCTGGGTAAGACTGACTCCAAAGGGATGCAAGGGAAATTTTTTTCCTGAAGAAAATGTTTTACATGTTGATCGTAGTGTGGTCACATAGGTGTACACATCTGTTAAAATGTATTGACCTATATGCTTAAAATAGGCATAATTTATTGTATAGAAATTATACCCTAATGAAATATATAATAATTATAATTACTCGAGAAAAATATTATTAAAAAAACTCAACCAGGGCCCAACACAGTGGCTCATGCCTGTAATCCTAGCACTTTGAGAGGCAGAGGTGGGTGGACTGCCTGAGTTTACTGATTTGATACTAGCCTAAGCAAAAGCAAGACCCTGTCTCTAAAAATAGCCAGGCATTGTGATGGATGCCTATAGTCCCAGATACTCGGGAGGCCAACGGAAGAGAATTGCTTGAGCCCAAGGAGAGTGAAGTTGCTGTGAGCTCTGATGCCATGGCATTCTACCAAAGGTGACAAAGTGAAACTCCGCCTCAAAAAATAAATAAATAAATAAAAGAAAAAAGAAACTCAGCCCATACTAAGAATTTAAAGATTAGATCAATCCTTGAAATGAACAATGTTAGAAAAATCACTTCCCTTTTGGGTGAGTGGGATAAAGTGGGTGGTTGAGAGACAGGTAGAAGGAGTATACACAAGTTAAGATTTAACAAATATTCTGTTGACATTGTCAAATGATATGTGCTTCTTACAGTATAATGGTTCTTAATTCACTAGGCTTTTGTCAACTCTGTTAGCAGATCAGACTCACTATATAAGTTGCTGAAGTTGTACAATAAACTTTTTGTTCTGGTATCTGTAAGTTTTTCTTTTTAAACTACCCTTTTTAGTTTAAAAGATGGGAAGAAAAAAAAACCAGCAAGAGTCTGTGAATACCCTGTGAATACCTGGGAAGAACTACTTTTATAGTGTGCACTTAATTATCCCTCTAAGAAACAGTACTTGTCTAGGGGAAAATACATAAATTTCTATGGGAATGCAAATGAAGAAAGAGTAAGGACTTGTTCTAGTTCAAGCATTTATAATTTCTAAAATTAAACAGTCCATTTTGGCTTTTGAAATCAGGTTCTCATCTCTTCTGTCTGACTTCAAATACTGAAACTTATTTAAGTAATCAACAAAGGAATTGAAAAAGTAATCTATATAAAACCCTGATTAAAGACAAATCACACATTTGTTTCTTAATAGCTTATCAAATTAAATACAATGTAACCCAATTATTACAAGCAATCAACAATCAAGTAAGAGATAGGGTCAGGTTGTTTTTTTCATTTTCTAGAAGCAAAATCAAGAATCCTAGGAACCAACACAAACATCCATCCATCCAAACATCTAAAAGCACTGGATGGTTACCCTGTGGAAGTATATGAACAGTAAGTGTACAGGATATTACAGATGACCTTGCAAGAGTTAGCAGTATGCACTTTGAATAATTAGGGTTAATATGCACTCAAGGAAAGAATTTCACATCAATTTTTTTGTTTTTGCAGTTTTTGGTGGGGGCTGGGTTTGAACCTGCCACCTCTGATATATGGGGCTGGCGCCTCACTCCTTGAGCCACAGGCACCGCCCTCAATTTTTTTTAAATTAAAAAACATATGCTGGGCTCAGCACCCATAGCACAGTGGTTACAGCGCCAGCCACATACTCCAAGGCTGGCAGGTTAGAACCTGGCCCAGACCAGCTAAACAACAATGACAACTGCAACAACAATAAAACAAATAACAACAACAAAAAATAGCTGGGTGTTGTGGTGGATGCCTGTAGTCTCAGCTACTTGGGAGGCTGAGGCAAGAGAATCACTTAATCCAAGAGTTAGAGGCTGCTGTGAGCTGTGATGGCATTGCACTCTATAGAGGGTGACATACTGAGGCTATCTCAAAAAATAAAATAAAATAGAAAACATACACCAATGATAGCCTAAGAAGCTAACAAGGAAAACAGACAAAAAATAGTTAGAAAGTCACTGTAATTTATTTAGATCCTTTTATGTGAATGATTCATTGAATCATCTTGAATAATTCATTGAAAAAAAAAAGAATTCTTTTTCATTGAAAAAGAATCATTCACATAAAAGGATCTATAGCTTGTTTTAAGTCAGGTTTTCAAAGTTTCTATGTTAAAAATGATTCTCACTTACCGAGAAATACTGCTCGGCTTCAAGCTGATCTTGTAGTTCCCGCATTTGTCCTTCATTTCCTCTATATTGTCTTCAGATAAAAGGAAAACATAAAATAAATGTTCCCATTTATACTGGACTTCATATTATTCTAAAATAATGTTGGTTTGTGAAAAGCATACTTCAATAGGAAGGAAAAGCAAGAACAATCAATTGACATAGGAGGAGCACTGCATATAGAGACAAGTACGTGCACATAAAACACACTAAACACAACTCGCACAGAGAACAAACTCAAAAAGAGAACTACAATGCAACCCAAAGATACAGATTTTCAAGGATTAATAATTTATCAGCAGCCACTAGGCTTTCATATTAGACAGTAATAGCTTTGGATTTTCAGTGACTAAAAAGGCACATGGTTGATAAAAAAGTACATAATAAATGATGAGTAAGTTATTTTGGGAGAAGAAAAATATAAAACACATTACTTGGTAAAAATGGTGGCTCTAAAAGGGGAAAAGAATTTTATCAATTTAAATCCAACTTAATCAAAACTGCCAATTTTATCTAAGAATCACAAGTCTTAAATAAAGCTGGCAAGTGAATTTATTATAAAACAAATTTAGAAGAAATAAAAAGATATAACTTGGTATAAGAAGTGCCCATCTTTGATAGTAAATTCCTGAAGTATGTATGTCCTTACATAAATTCTGAAAGCAATACCGACACCTAGCTTTCTATGTTTCAGGTAAGCAGGGTATATCACATCTCAAGAATAACAGAAAAACAAAAAATACATTTTACATTCTAAGATGAACCAAAGAAACAAAACAAAACACAATATAGCATCACCACACCTAGTTCTAGTCTCTTAAAAAAGCAAGCTCAGCTGGCTGTGGCGGCTCACACATGCCATCCTAGCACTCTGGGAGGCCGACGTGGGAGGATCACTTGAGCTCAGGAGTTGGAGACTAGCCTGAGCAAAACCCTGCCTCTACTTAAAATAGAAAAATTAGCCAGGTGTTGTTGCCAGGTGTTGCACCTATAGTCCCAGCTACTCAGGAGGCTCAGGCAGGAGGATCACTTAAACCTAGGAATTTTCTGTTGCCTGGGCAACAGAAAGCCTGTCTTTAAAAAATAAAAAGGAACACTGAACATTTTCTGTAAGGTAGTATTGCCTTAATAAAAATAAATTTATCTCTGAGTTTTACAATTCTAATCTGAAGAAACATGATGATTTATGTGGATATGAAAATCATAGGAGAAAACTGGTTTTTTTTATCATAAACATAAAGTCAGCAACCTTGATAATCTCCTTTTTGTGTCCCTTTAAATATGTGTATTTTTTATTTAGTTAGCCAGTCTTTTTTTTTTTTTTTTTTGAGACAGAGCCTCAAGCTGTTGCCCTGGGTAGAGTGCCGTGGCATTACAGCTCACAGCAACCTCCAACTCCTGGGCTCAAGCGAGTCTCTTGCCTCCGCCTCCCAAGTAGCTGGGACCACAGGCGCCCGCCACAACGCCCGGCTATTTTTTTGGTTGCAGCCGTCATTGTTGTTTGGCGGGTCCGGGCTGGGGATTCGAACCCGCCACCTTAGGTGTACGTGGCTGGCGCCTTAGCCGGTTGAGCTATAGGCGCCGAGCCAGCCAGTCTTTCTAAACCTCAACTCCCTTTTAAACCTTCTTTGCAAGCAAATTCTTTTAGTTCTAAATGCTTTTTTCTTTCTTTCACAAACTGTAAGTACATAATCTGTACACACACAAAATACCAAACACATAGGCCACTGCCAAACACAAAAAAGAAAGAACGAACTTTATTCCCAAGACTTACTTTGTAAGCTGAGCTAACTCAAATTCTAACAACCTCTTTGCTTCCAATAAAGTATTTATTTCCTGTTTCATCTGCTTTTGTAAAACCTTTAAATTGTCCGCCTCAAATGCTTGAGTCTTCAATTCATTTTGTAACAACAGTCGCTTATTTGATTCCTGCTCCAGTTGCAGGGTTAGATTCTTAACCTGTAAGTGAGAAAAATAATTGGGATCTTAAATTTCTTTATTACGTTATTTGAAAAAATACTAATCAAATCACAAGTATACATACATTATAATTTATTATACTAATAGAAAACATTAGTATTGAAAATAGTATCTATCATTCTATTTGTTTATTACTGAAGATTTACTGTTGCATCTAATGAATTACCAAATTTCAGAAATGAGTTCAGGATAAAAATCTGGTTTCTTTCTACCCTGACCAGCATGAAAATTTTAGAGTTCATACAAAGTGACCATAAAAGCTATTTTAGGGATGGGCGTGGTGGCTCATGCCTGTAATCTTAGCACTCTGAGAGATTGAGGCGGATGGATCCCTTGAGCTTAGGAGTTTGAGATCAGCCTGAGCAAGAGCAAGACCTCAGTCTCTACTAAAAGTAAAAAAAACTAGCCAGGATGGGCAGTGCCTGTGGCTCAAAGGAGTAGGGCGCCGGCCCCATATGCTGGAGGTGGCAGGTTCAAACCCAGCCCTGGCCAAAAACTTAACTAGCCAGGCATGGTGGTGGGTACCTGTAGTCCCAGCTACTTGGGAGGCTGAGGCAATGGGATCATTTGAACCCAAGACTTTGAAGGGCACAGAGTGAGATTTTGTCTCAAACAAAACAAAACAAAAAAAGCTATTTTAAGTTAGGTACAGTGGCTTGTGGCTATTGGTCCCATCTCTTCAGAAGGCTGGTGGGAGGATCCCTTGTGGCCAGGACTTCAAGGCTGCAGTGAGATATGATCACATCCATGAATATAGCCACTGCATTCCAGGCTTGGGCAACATAGTGAGACTCCACTGCTATTAAACAAAGTTACTTTGGGGGGAACGTTACAACGGGGTAAGGTTTATGTACTCTAGTCTACAATCCTTCAAAGCTTACAAAACAAACTGAAGGTATATTTAATTCAATTTAACAAACATTGACCAAATGCTTATTAGGTTCTGGGACCAATGAATTCAAAATTCTTACAGTGATTTACGATGACCTTCATGATCTGCTTTCTACTTCTGTAATTCTATCATCGTCCATTCTCTATAATCTGATCATCTTCAGATCCTCAAATCCAATAAAGTCTTTCTCAGAGTTCTTGTACAAGCTATTCAGTTTTAACTTAAATGTCATACCCTCAGCAAGGCTCTTCTTATCTCCTGGATGTGACTGGTCACACACTCCTACAGCATCTGTACTTCCTTTTAATTATCTGTCATGCTTGTAATTATTTTAGTATCTTTCTCTCTTGGCTGTCCAATAAAGTCAAGACCACACCCACATCATACCCATAGCCTTAGTAATCCCAACACCTAGCCCAGAACCAGGCAAATCAAACATGGTGAAAAATTTCTGTTTTTAAAATGATCTTTCATTTTTTTTCAACGTACATTCCTCCTGCATGCTGCTCCTTACAGATATCTCTAAACTTTTTTTAAAAATTTTTTGTTTCTTAATTTTGCTTTTTATTTAATTTTAGAAATCTCTAAATTTTCTCCTTTCTAGTACATTCTATATACCACTGCCAGATTAATTTTCCTAAAAGAATGTTTTCACCTATGGCTCTCATGCAAGTTTTAAAGAATATCAATACTTTGACCCCCAGGTTTTTCTCACAACTACTCAACATGTCTCTTCTCTGGTCAGATCAAGTTCTGTTTTGTCCCTTACTTGTCCATTTTCTTGCCCATATAGCACTCACTCTTACCAATACCATTACTGATAATATTTCTTCTACCAAGACAAGCTCTCAGTCTCAAACTACCACCTTTTGAGGTCTTATTCAACCTTTAAAATCTAGGTAGCAACCTACTTTTCCTTATGAGATCTTTTTTACATTCAATTTTATTTATTATTATTACTTTTTGAGACAGAGTCTCACTATGTTGCCCTTGGTAGAGTGCCATGGCATAACAGCTCACAGCAACCTCAAACTCTTGGGCTTAAGCAATTCTCTCGCCTCAGCCTCCCAAGTAGCTGGGACTACAGGCGCCCACCACAACACCCAGCTATTTTTTTATGTTGTTGAAGTTATCGTTGTTGTTTAGCAGGCCTAGGCTGTGTTTGAACCCACCAGCCCCTGTGTATGTGGCCGGCACCCTAACCACTAAGCTATGGGTGCCAAGCCTACATTCAATTTTAGAAATAAATTCTAAAATACATCTAGTAACTACAGGATATAATATCGTTTTATTGTTGTATATGTGTATCCTATGCTTTCTATCAATCTAATCTAGTAAAGACTGACTGTTTAAAAAACAGAAGAGCAGGCCAGGCTCAGTGGCTCACACTTGTAATACTAACATGCTGAGAGCCCAAGGCTGATAGATTGCCTAAGCTTAGGGTTTGAGACTGGCATGAGCAAAGCAAGACCCTGTTCTCTACTAAAAAGAGAAAACTAGATGGGTGTTGTGGCTGGTGACTGTAGTCCCAGCTACTGGAGAGGCCGAGGCAAGAGGATTGCTTGGGTCCAAGAGTATGATGTTGTTGTGAGCTATGATGCTACAGCACTCTACCCAGGGTGACAAAAAAAAAAAATCTAAGAGCACATACTCTTTCTTTAGGATTACAGGACACTTACAATAAAGAGCTGTTTTGTTTTGTTTTTTCTTAAAGCAGATGGTTAGTTACTTCTGGGGAGGCCCTCTGACACTTCAGTACAATTGTACTGTCAAAGTACAAAATGGTGTAGACCCTACCGAATGAACATTCAATAACTATTTGAAGATGAGAATTCTGTATGTTACAGTACGGAACATAGATACATGTGAGTTATTTCAAATCTCCTCCACGGTATTTAAATTACAAATAATTCTTTGTTCATAACCTGGTTTTTTCTCTTTTAAAAACAAATAAAATCAGTTCTATTTTTCTTACTTCATCCTCCATCCTTTCTTTATTTTCAGCCAAATGCTCTAGCTTCTGCTGAGATTGTTTCAGATCAACATCTAACATGGAACATTGTTTCTCAATCTGAACAACCCTATTTTCAGCCTTCTCTCGAGTTTCTCTCTCTTCTTTCAGCTTTTTTTCCATCTCTGTAAAAGTAAAAAGTTATAAATATATATTTAAAGAACGAGTACTTTAATATATTTAAACTTACATGGGCTATAAATTGGTTTCAAATCTCCCCATTGTTTTTATTCTGAGACTCTACCAGCTATTAATTACAGAAGTTCTCATGTTACTTGAGTTATTTGCATAGTAGGAATTTCTAACCCAGCCCTGAGCCAATGATATGTGAGATTATTCAGCACCATTTTAGATCAGAAAGTGAAGTGTATAGAGGGAAAGACAGTGGAGTAACAGAGGAGGAAAATGGGAGGTAGGTCAAGTAAAAGCAAGAAAATATCATTGTGCTAATTAATCTATGCATTTCATTGTTCTAGGACTTTTAAGACCCTTCAGGCTATCAGCAAAACTCTAAGCAACACAGCAGGATACTAGTCTACACAGAGGTTCCTCTTGTGAGATATGATAATGAAGGTTCTGAGAGGTTATGTGGGTAAACATTAGGACAAGGTTAACTTTTCCATAGTCATGTATGTAACTGGTAAGCTGCACCAGGTTTCTAGCTTAGGCTCCTGGGTAGTAAGTAATACTTATACCATCACCCTGAGCCATGATAATATCCACCATTTACTGAAAGCTTTGTATGCACAGGAACTTCCCAACCATTTTCTCATCTAACTTTAAAAAACATAATAAATAGAATTGTTAAGGGGCAATGTAGATTTACCTGATTCTAAAGCCTGGGCTCATAAAGACTGTATGGCCAATTATTAACCAGATTAGTGAGAATAAAGAGTAAGAGCATGCTTGATGAGTATGATTATTAGTTTTCCTTTAAACAAACAGGACTTAAGGTACCAACTGACACATTCAGATTAGCAGGTTAAAAGGGAGCAGATGGTGAAGAAAAAACAGACCTTTTTTCAGAAGCTTGGCTATTTATTTATCCAGCAAATAAAAAAAACAGTGATAACTGGTAAGGACCATAGTTTGGTGCAAAGGTTTATCCATTTGTTTTTAAGATGGAAGAGACTTATACATATTAACAACAACAAAGAAGACGGTGGAGAAGAAAAGGTTGCAAATAAAGAGGCAAAAAGTCAGTCAGGATGAGATAAGAGAAAAATGGATTTGAGTAGAGCTAGAACATATTAGCCAGGACAGAAAAAAGGATCCTCCTCTAAGATGACAGGAAAAGTAATGAAGATGGGTAAAGCAGGAGGACAGACTGGTAAAAGAACTAACACTTGTTATTTTTTGTGAAACAGGAGGAAATTTCACGTAAAGATGGAGAGATTAAGAAATGTCATAGGAAGCTTGAGAAGATAAATAAAAGAGAGAAGAAACTGCTGAGATAAAAATAATTGGCAGCCCAACTGAGGTTGGAAATAATACAATGGACTAACAC